TTGACTTTGTGTACCTTTGTACTTATTTGAATGATCAACCTTCCAGGTGTTGAGCATGAGTAGATTAGGAGGAGCTGGCGCAGTAGCACCGCTTGTGACTGAAATCCCGATAACTTCAGTAGAGGTAATAAAAAAATGATTTTTACTTAGTCTGTGCTCTTAATATACTCCTATAATTTTTGGTCTTCTTGCAGGAGGAAGGTGGTGAAAACGAAAGAGCCCAGCCAGCCTGGGAGAAGTGGTCGAACGATGGTACAGAACGACAGGTTGCTAAGCTCATGGAAGAAAATGTAGGGGCCGCCATGCAGTTTCTTCAATCCAAGGCACTCTGCATGATGCCCATCTCTCTTGCCTCGGTGATCTATCACACTGAACCTCCCGACACCTCCCACTCATGAAACCAGGGTCGAACTCCATTCATAATCCTCCAAAATAACACATACATGTCAACATCATCCTGCCCTAACTTCCTCTAGTCAAATGTCCCAATTCGACTCTCACTAGATTTGTTTTTCTCACTCCCTTTCAGTTGAAATCTAAGTCAGATTCCATGATTCCGCCTTTTCCAGCTTTATTCAAGGGAGAGTTTGATACTCAATGTTTAAAATAATGGAAACCTACCCTCTTGTCCTAGCTAGATTCAAGTAGAGAAGAAAATGTGAAATTGCTATTTGGTATGCTGTGCTTTTTTATATCATTAGTGGCACATTTGTCTAGTCGTAAATGATGAAAGCACTTTTGCAGTGGGAGATGGAGCTTTCATTTTGGTAGTGGATTTAAGGACCCTTCAAAAGGTGATGAATGCGAATATATTGTAATTTTTTTAGCGTATTTTCAAGGCAAGTGGAAATGGGTAGTTAGAAAGGATAAACGGGTTGTTTATTTTGTCCTAAAAAGTTGGATTTATATTCTATCTGAAAATCAATTGTACTACAGGGTCCTATTGGCCGAGTGGGTTGGTTGCCAAAAAGTAATTTGACTCCTTTCTCAATTCTCCTTTACCAGCATTGTAATCAAATTATTGTGAAAAAGGGGAAGAGCTTATGGTCCATAGGCATGGATGAAAACTGTTATTGTCTGAAGTCTAAATTAAATTTTTGTTGATTGTACTATTAACCAGAATCGTGTACAAATTTTGCATGGATCAATCGGTACACTTAGGATGAATTAGACAGACAAATAATATTATGGGTTCACATATAGAATTATTTTATTAGGAGAATTATTTTTCCCTATCCAACATGGTCAATTTGATCTAAAATTAATCCATCCAACTCAATTAATGGTTTGAACTCAACCCAACCCAAACCGATCAAGTGTGGGGTCGGTTTGGGTTGGGTTGGTCGGTTTGAGCTCCGGCTCAATAAAAGTTGAATTCCATTATTTTTTGTTGAATTTGGATAAATTTTTAAATTTTGAAATTACTTGAAAACCTCTATGTTTCAAATATCTATATAATGAATTCTTTCTGAAAAATAATGTATAAATAAGTTTAAAATTTATGAAGCATTTTCCTTTTTACAATTTATTGGAATTTATTCATTTCATCACTATGTTATTAAATTTTACTTCATTGTCAAATAACATCTTTTTTTATACAAAGTGTTCATATGAATCAATCTATTTAAATAAAATAGACGATTATTAATTATAAGTCCTCGTATCTTTACTATTGTGTTTATTCAGTTTTTTTTTTCATCTTAGATATATATTTATTTTTTTTAATTCATTGAGTTGGGTTAGATTTTTAAATCATAGCCCAAGATCCAACCCAATTTCAAATTTAGCAACGTTTGATCCCATTTTTTTCCAATTTTTTCTTTGGAAAAAGCCATATGTCCAAGGTTAGCGACACCGCCCTGTTTTTTGCCCTGTCCCCAACCCTGGGCAAGAAGCAGAACTATTTTTTTTTTCTTCACATCTCATTTTGTTGAAATATGCTGCTGTACCAGGGCTTTTTTGCCCATCATTTTGACAAATACTCACATGGGTGTGGAGTCGGATGGGACTCAAGGTGAATTTAAAATGCAAGAAAAGCCCCACCGACCCCCAAATGTGAGAATAGGTCACGGAGAGTGGGCCCCCAGGGCACATCTCCAAGTGCTAAAAGGGGAAGGTGGAGAAATCCAGTTTTGCTTGAGACTGCTGCATCAAGGGTTCGAATCCTGAAATATGGATTTGGCTCTTGAGTAAGTGCAAGTGTACAAGCAGCCTTCCATCCTGTATCCTTGGAGGCATAACCTGCGATTTACCTCCTTCATGATGCTCCAGGGTAGGGGTGGTGGAGGACCCTTAAGATTAGGGTTTACCCTTTTTTTTTTTAAGGTCAGGGAGGGTGGGTTCCATTTTGTTACGGTATTGACTTGATAACTTGTGTCAGTAAGTTCAAATTTTTGTCAGGAAGATGATGTTGAAAAATTACATCATTGCCCTCCATCTTTCGCAAGCCACGAACCAGTCAATTGAAGGGCATATTTGGAAATTTAATAATTCCAAAATTCATCTTACAACCTAAAACACATGCAAGTTCAGCTGCTGTCACCCCCAGGGCATATCTCCCAGTGGCAAAGGGGAGGGCGGATAGGGCTCAGCGCGGCAGTGTGCAGAGTTCGATTCCCCACAAGGTGGAATTGGCTTTGTTGCAAGCGGGAGTTATCATATGGGTTAACAGCCTAGGCTTATCTATGTGCTTTTCACCCTGACTCCTGGGAGGCACATCCTGCGATTTACCTCCTCCACGATGGCCCAGGGCAGGATCGGTGGGAGCCCCTAAGGTTGGGGTTCAACCTTTTAAGTTCAGCTGCTGTCAGAGAACCGTCCTTTTAGTCTAACTTGGGGCCCACAACTAATGAGAAATGGGTTGGAAAAATGGGCAAGAATGGAGCTAAAACAAGGACTTAATTTTTCAATCCAACCCTATTCAATTGAACTTAAAAAAATCAATCTAAACCGATGAGTTTGGTTTACGTTGATCGGGTTGAGCGATTTGGATTGAGTTTTGCCTAACCCTAAGGAGAATGGGATGTTAAACATGAATTGGAAGAAAATTGAATTTTAGATAAGTTGAGCAGAACAAATACTTTGATTTGATTTATCTTTCAAATGCTAATAAAA